GGGCATATCGCGCCATGTTAATGTAGTAGGCTCAGTACAGTTTAGCATTTGTAAGCCCTTTCACTCTGGGGACTCGTGACTGGTGCAGTGTTGAAAGTGACTCAGAAACGGTATTTTTGAAGCAAACATTTTTTCACCAAAGGTCTAAGATGCAAAGTACAAAAGGTAAAAGGCAGTAAAAGACCTACATGCTCTGTTTTACACTTTAATTTTTCCTTGCCAGTGTTTTCTAAATTTCTCTAAGCCCAACAAAGCTCAGCTCAGGCTGGGGGAGATCATCCTGCTTACAGCATTCCCTGACTTTCTGTTCTCTTGCCACTGAGCTTTACCTAGGCAGCCTATGGACCCTCATAGAACTCTTTATGCACTAGTGTCATTGCATAACTAGTGTCATTGCATAGTATATTGCATACATATTGCAGACATGCATCATTCTTAAAAAAAAAAAGCCGATTTCCCACATCATTGTGCACCTTGATAATAGTCCCATTCATGGACAGACCAAAAAGTTGTTTTGGTACATGTAGCCTTTTATTCTAGGAATCGAAAGAAATAGTTGCACTTAGTTTACATAATTCTATGACTTTTTATAATTATCAACCTGTCTTCAAGTGATGAATACAATCTGTGCTGAGAAAATACCCTCAGGAATACAAAAGATTAATAATGCGTCTTTCCTTATTAGAGTTTTGCTTACAATACATTATTTTTAGAAAGAAGATTAAACAAAAGATTAAGGGTGTCTTTACATGTGCTTGGGGATGGGGGGTGCTTTAATTAGAGCAGCTCTTGGGAGCAGCCTCAGCGTTTCATGTATTCAGCATCCTGCACTTCAAAATGGTGGTGGGACGCTTTAACTAAAGCTTGTTCAACAAGCTTTAATTAAAGTGTCCCTGTTGCCATTTTGAAGTGAGGGGATGCTGAAAACAAGTGATGTGGAAGCTGCTGAAGCATGCTAATTAGGACACTCCAGCAGACTCAATTAATCAAGTCTGCTCCAATGTATTCTTTTCCCCGCTTCCCCACACACCTCATTTCCCCCCAAATGACAGTTCTTGTGTTTTTGAAACTCAACACTTACTTCAGTGTACTAATATATCCCCAGAGTATTGAAGCGCTTCCCAGGGAAAGAATAAATATTAAACAAAGAATACCCATAGTACCTTTGCAGGCATAGCCAATTTTGATTACAATGACCAAAGTTTTATGTGAATTACTATTTTCTGTGGCTGAGATAAATTGGTATCTATCTTATTATTTGGTCTCTTCTGGAAGACAGCAGCAGCATCTTCACAGTGCTAGTGCTTGTAGTCCATGGTTTTACCTCCCAAATCCAAATCTCATTTGGCTAGCTGTAAAAATCTCTATCACATGGTATTCTACTATAGCATGATATTACATCTGGATGCTAATTACGTTTTCAGGACTGTTCCTTTGTTTATCCTTACATCTGGGCCTTCCTTCCGCTCTTCTGTCCCCGGTGACTTTCTTTTCCAGTTCTTGGTGGTAACCTAAGATGGCTTCTGAAAATGCTGGCATGTCCTGTTTTGTGGATATTTGTTTTATGATGCTTTGACTTAAGGAATAAGAGTTTTAGTCAGGATAAAAAAGAATGTTATATTTTGGGAATGGGTATATTTGATCAGAACAGTCGGTTACCTACAACCTTTTTAATATTTATTTAAATGCCAATTTTAAAGGAGTCTAGTCTCATGGTTTGGATACAGGCTAGGATGATTCCATATTTTTAAGTGGATATTTCCTTTAACAACAAAATAACTTTGGTCATATTTTATCGTAGACATAAGGAAAACTCACAATTTAACACATGGTTGAATACTGGGGGGCATCACCTTCAAAGGGGTAAATAGGAAGGCACTCAGCTCTCAGATTTCTTTTTTCAATAGAACTTAGACAGTTACTTGCCCTTTGTACCTTTTGGAAATCTCCACTGAAGACTCTCTTAAAAATAAACATCGGCGTAGTGAAAAAATGTGAGGGTATAGGGTAATTTCATAAAAGAATATATTCTATTCCTTTTCAATACTTTAGGAATTCTTTCACTCAAGAATATGCCTTGCATTGGAGTAGTAAACACTTTTCCTTTGTTTTCATTGGCCTGCTGTTGATTATAGTTTAATCCCATTTTTTTTGCTTATAGCAATTATATATGCACTTATTTGTATTTCTGTTTTTATTAATATCGCTAAGACTTTTTTACAAATATTGTATTAACTCCTCAAAGCTTTTCCTGCTCTTACTAATCTGACAATCATCTTTACTACATCCATTTTGAGCCAGTACTACCTGAGGTCTTTGTATGACTTTTATTTTTAAATAGAAAATAATTTTGAATCGTTACCATTAGTACTTAACTAAAGCAATATCCTATTTGGTCAAGAAAATCAATCCATATCATTTCTGATAATGCCATGCTGTATGTAACTTGACACACACATTTAGCTGTTGAAGGACAGAACTCTTTCTTAGAATGAAACCCTTCTCATTTCCTGGAATGACTTTTGATTCAGGACTTAACGTGTGTTTATACCCACTGACATTTGCTAATACCAAAAGGAAGATCATGAAGAGATAACAAACTAAGAAAAATAGTGGCCTTACTTACCCAGAGGAAGCAGATTCCTGCATTGAAAGTCAGAATTCAGCAATGTCGATATTTACTGTGTATAGATTTCGCCAAATGACTGTCCAGTAATTAGAAGCTTAAAACCAGACATATGTATGATCAAGAGACTAATATTGATACAGTTTTGTTCTTACATTGATTTTGGCCATGTTTATATCAGTGTAGTGTGACAGTTTTGGTCTGTTTTCAGATTGCTGTTTATTGCCATACCTTAGTAAGGACTGAGAGAATGAGATGTAGACAAATGGACAACCAACAAAATTGATATGAATTTTCAGCTATCTTAAGCACCTTCTTATTTGCTAGCACCTCTTATTTAATTTAACAGATTGAGAATATTCTTATGAATATTCTAGCTCTGTGAAGTTCTTATTCCATGTTTTATAATAGTTTCATAGGGAGAACTTGCATAATGTGGTTATAAAAATGCAATGATTAAACAGCTGTTTCCAACACTAAAATGGCAGATTTACATCATGGAAAGAAGCTTTACTCCAAAGCTTGGAAAACGTAGAGCTTCTGATATTTTAATTTTCTTCGTATTGTCCCTTCAGTATTTGAAATTCATCAGCTTCCATGAAAAATGTTGACTCTAAACAGGCTTTTTCTTTTTTTCTTTTCTTTTTTTTTTTCATATCTGAGTGCTAACTATTGCTTTTTAAAACAATTTCTCTCCTTAGGTAGAAGAAGTAAGCAACAGATATCATTCATGTATGAACAGCAGAAGTATTTTAAACTGCTATCATTATTGTCTGGGTGTTAATCAGTAGCTAGAAAAAGTCTTTCCTTTTTTGCTTCCCCCTCCGGAAAAAAAAATCCAAAAAATCTGAAATACTATGGTTCCTGCATTTATTGCTTATGGCTTCCCTTAAGTATTAAACTATTCTTTGTTAATTTCAAGTAAACATAATTAGAATATCAGGGGCCATCTCATTTCATGTCTGATCAGAGTTAAATGGAAAAATATAATTTATTCTGGGTATTTTATAACTTAGTTACATAGCTTGAAAGATGGAGTTATACAGTAAATTAATAATAAAGTAGCTTCATAAAAATTTCTTAAGTAGCTTTATGAAAGCTATTTTGCAAGTTGGTGTTTATCTACTCTAACATTCTAATTAATTTGTTTGGATAGTGTTTTAAAACCTGTGAAAAGCAATATCTTTTACCCAAGATATATTTACATTAAATAATGTCTTGCTGTATGTCGTCTTAGTTCAGTCATTTTATGTTAATGCTTTTTGCATAAATCACAAATATGCTTCCTTTTTTATCCTTTATTATAATTATATTTCAGCCATATACCGTAGGCCTGTGCGAATAGGGAAGTATTCAATTTGGATTCAGCGGCCAGTGATTCTCATGAAGGGTGGGGCCACACTAATCATATGCAGCTGACTGAGAGAGGGGGCAACATGGTGAGCTGTTTGGGGTGATGTTTGTCAGATATTTAAAGTTGATGAACAAACAGGAATCATTGGAAATGGGAAAGAAAGGTGCAACTTGATTGTGGGAGTGAGAGGAGGTCAAAACATATTCAATGTAGTGGCTCACCATGACTTGAAAAAGAGTCAGTGTTGAGGGGTATTGTGCTCAATGGGCACGGTCACATATTTTAATCACATATTTTATTCAGATAGGCTGTACTATCTTATTCTTCTGGTAATAGCAATTTTGGCATCAAGGGGAGGGTGTCAGGGCTGTATCTGGCTCTCCCAGTGCTGGCCTGGTATTGCAGTACCTCCAGGCCTGGTGCCAGTTTCCTGCAGAGGAAATGCCTGCCAGTTTTTTAAAGGGCTGTTACAAAAAAAAAAAAGTGTTGGTTGCATTTGATCAACTTCATAGTTGGTTTTCATTACTGAGCACATGCTGCTTTTTGCAGCGGTTTAACAGTTGACAATATATTTAATGAGGTTTTCTTGTATTTGAATGTAAGACAAGAGACTCTTTTCCACATGCTAATGGGGGGAGGGAACCGTCTCTTGTATTCAAGTAAATATGTCAGTTATAGGGTAATGTGAAAGCCCAGTGGTGCCTTATTGAGTAAAGAGAACCAACGAGTACAGAAAACCTGTCCCATGTGACACAGCAACTTATCTCCATTATGTGTTTTTGGGAGAACCAGATGAAAAAAATATAAACGCATGCATATAAACAGAAATATTTAAAATTACTATAGCACTTTGCATCTTCAGTGAGAGATACAAATATGAATCTATAATAGATATAGCCTAAAGAAATTAAGCTGTATTTTTTACATTAAATAGGCATTGACAGATGTATTGTATTCTGTAGTGCTGTAGAAATTGTATAACAACTGACTAGTCTATGCAATTTTTTCTTTTTGCAACAGGATGGAGTAAGTATGACTTGTTTGCAGTGCTGGTTTTGATGCATGCTACATCTTAATATACTCTTTTAGAATTCTGCAGTTTTGCAATCTTGCTGGGAGGGACAAGATTTGATGTGGCTGGAAAAAAGTTTGGAGATCAGTTTTGATTTTGCTTTAGCTTATACCAAAATTGAAATGAATAATTTGTGTGACTTCAGCTCTTTCTAATCTGCTTGAGTGTGTTCTTAATCCTAATTTTAATACTTTAGCAACCATCTGTTTAAATTTGTTTAGAAAATATATTATTTTATTTCTATGAAATTTTTGTTAACATAATTTGCTTTATAGGAATTGTCTGGCAAATTTGCTTAATAATATCAAAGTTTTTGTGTGTGTTTAATTATGCAAATGCAATCAGTCCTCCCAAAATCTTTAAATGTAATACTAGCCAGTAAAATAAATTAAATGGTCTTTATTAAAAAAAAAAAAAAAAAAAGACATACCTAAAACTAATTTTACAGATCTGTAAGTAACATTGGTCTCATATATGTGTATGTAGACTTCTTATAGGGTGTTAGTAAGCCATATGAACACTTACTGAGAAGAAAATAGAGCCTAAGCTGTAAATATGCCTATAAACACCCACCAAAAATGTTGCTTAAAAAAGTATCTGGACTTCATTGTGAATTCATTTATGATTACCATAAACCCATCAATTAAAGTTTTGAGGTGAAATCCTGGCTCCCTAAAGCTTATGGTAAACAACCACTGACCCTTCCCCACCCCTCTCCCACTCCAGGGCAGGATTTCATTCATTGTATTTTGGCACTTGCCCCAGCTATAGTTTTATGGATTTGTAAATGTATTCTTTTGGGAGTGTGTTCTAGTGATAACTAGGGCTGTGCAAAGTTTCAGTTGCTGATTCGATTCGGAGGAGATTCAGCCTGATTTGGTGGCCGAATCTGAATAGAATCGGGAGACCAATTCAAAGCTCTGAATTGATTCAAAGCCTCTGAATCAATTTGGAAAAGATTTGGAGATTTGGGTAGTCGCTGCTCACTGCCGCAGGGAGGTGAACCCAGGTTCTGTGTGGGTAAACACAGACTGGAGGAGGGGGGAAGGGACCATGGGGGGACCCCCACCAGGCCCCATCCTCTACCCACTCCCTCAGCCCCCTGAATGCCCCTGACTGCTCTCA